GGGGGGGGGGTCTGCCTGTAACTGCTAGTGCTTTTGAAAATTTTACCCTATTTTTAATATTGCATTAATCATTTCCATGGGAATCTTGAAGGAAGGTAGAGGCCTGTGTTTGTGCTATCAATTAATCAGGAAGTTGGTAAGTTATACTTTTATTAAAGACCTCCTAAGGGACTCTAGCTAGATTCTTTTATGATGCATTTTTAAAACAGAGCTAACAGCCTCTTCCTACTTTTGATACAGGATTAGTTTGTCAATCTAGATGTCAAAGGATTACAGTTCAAAAGTAGTTATTATAAATAAAGATTATACTAAAGCATTACAATACTGACCATGTACATATTGATGAAGAGCAATAAAAGTGCCTCCAAGGATTCCAAAAATGATTGAGTGCCGATTCTGTCTGTATACTGTTTCAATGGAAGTAATGTAACAGGACAGACCAAAGTTTTCTTACAGTTAGCAATAAACAAATGAAAGACATGGACTCAGACATTTAGCCACAGTTTCCTGTGATGATAATCTTCTGACTCAAAATCCACAATAACATTAAATGTTATACATTAAGAAAAGCTCTCGTCTATTGTATTTTCAAAAGTATCCAAATTGAAAGAAACTTTAGACAATAATTATCTAGCACTTAGCACAGAGAAAAAGTGCATTTAAATTAATTACTTTAAGTAATGACAATGTGGTGCCAGCTTAGCAGCTGTGGTGATGTCCATTTATGGAACCTCTTACATTACCAAGTGTTCTGTTAGCTACTTTACATGAATCTCATTTATTTGTCTAGTCCTACCACTTCCAATACGATCTCCACCTTTTTATATGAAGGAACAGGCCCAGAGGTTAAGTAATTTGCCCAAGAAAGTTGGAGCATCTATCTCTAGGGAACATCAAAGGTTCTGAGGAGCATCTTTTACATGGATTTGCGCTGCTGCTCCGGGCTGCCTCTATGGTCTCCCCTGCTAACGGTATTCTGCTGAGGGCTGGATGGCCATGTTTGCAATGCACTCAGATTCCCTGATAGTTTACATCAGGGTTCTTACGTTGGGGTTCATAAACACCTGAAAACAAATGCAAAAACCGCACAACTGCACAATTCTGAGAGGAGGACTTTCTCCAGATTTTAGTGTAGTCTATGGTCCAGAAAAGGTCCACAACTGTCTTGTGGATATTCCTCTGCGGCTTGTTTTTAAGCTCTAAGACCTAAGAAATCTTACTCTCATTCCCGAGGAAATCCCACAATAGAACATCTTACAGTGTCCTTATATTAAGAAGAAAGTGGAGGCAATTACCTAAGAGAAAATTTCAGATTGTACCTTGAAATAACCAGATGGCCACGGCCAAGGACATGAGGTGAAGGCTGCCACTGAATTATCTACCTCATGGCAGTAATTTTCTGTTTTTCATCAAACATGCAGAAAAACACTACTGCGTAAAGAGAAAGAAAAGCGTGCTGGGTCGATCTGATTATTAAACTTAAAAAGATATGTCATATAAAATTATAAAAGTACTGGGAAAAACATGCCAACATTGGCAACTACATTTCCAAATAAAAAGAAAACACAGAAGCTATTTGCCAGTTTTAAACAACAAAGTATTTATAACCTTGCAATGCATAAAAAGTACAGAGGGAATTTCTCACTTTTCTTCCAAAGAAGTTCTGCTGAATTTTAAATATTTTCTTTGAATAATCACGTTTGACAAACAAAAAGGTTAATGCTAGCAAGGTAATTGAAATTAATGATGGCAGTGTCCACTGGGCTATGTCTGTGAAGCTGTTCCTCTCCCATTCCCACTCTAACTTAAAGATGTCTGACATGTAAAATTCTGCACTTACACATAATACAGTAGGCGTGGCTATTTTTCAATCCCCCTTAAAACCTACAGGTTTTTTTTCTGGTTTTTGGTTTTTTTTACAGGGTCCTTACAGTGTTTTTAAAATGTAATTTGAGTTTTTAAAAAGGTACTAAGTTATACAAAACATAAAAAAGCCCCATTGCATAAATTAAGCAGCTACTATTAGAGGCATGGTTTCCAATCCTCTATAACTGAAGTACAAAGTTACCCCAAAGGATTTCTGAATATTACTCTACACCAAGTAAGCCATTTACTACCCAGGACTTGACTTGAAATTTAGTATTTTTATACTTATTCAACACAGAATTTCATCTATATCTCTATATATTTATATCTACACATAGTTGATATCAGGTCCCAAGCACAGAAAAATTAAGAATGCGAAACTAGAGAAACAGTGAAATGTTAGAGGCCAGCACGAAAACAATCAGCAGACCAACTGACATCAAGGGAAGAGACAGAAAAACAAATGAGAAGGGAGTCCAAGTCCACGAGGAGGCAGAAGAGCCTGGGACGGCGGGAGGAAAGGATGGAAATGTCGGGTCATTTAAGCTTCTCCCCAAGGACCTCCTGTCCACTGAGATGCAGGAACTTGCTTAGGGCACTGCCCGCTTCTCCTAGCTCAGCGGTGACTGGGCGGCGGCAGATCACGCATTTCCTGAAGAGCGGTGTTCTCTTGGCCCAGCTTAGGAGCAAATGCCTGAGCGAGCAGCTCTGAAGAGCGAGGAACTGCCCCACTATTCCACAGCCCTTTAATTAACTACCATGCTCACTGCCCCAGGGCCTCTTCCTGGTTTTCCCTCCTGTGATCCTGGGGATTTTTCCACAGTTCTGCTGAACTCCCTGACTCAGCATCTTGTCTTTAACATTTATTGTGTTTTGAGGTCTTTTGCTCAGCTGGGCTGTACCTTCAACACTACTCCATCTGTTATGTACATATATTTTTTAATTGATTTTATTTTCAGAGAGAGAGAGAGAGGGAGGGGGAGGAGAGAGAAACATCGATCGGCTGCCTCCCAAAGGCACCCCGAATGGGGATAGAACCCACAGCCCGGGCACATGCGGTGACCGGCGGTTGAACCTGCCACCTTCCGGTGTACGGGATGACGCTCCAACCAACCGAGCCACCCCGCCAGGGGTCCATCTGTTGTCTAACATTTAAAATTTCCTCTGTGTTGATTCCACCTTTCCAGGTTTCCTATGCTGCTGTGCACTTATTTTTATGTTTATTCTTCCATTTCAAAGACACTTTGGACATAAGCAAAGGCATGTCTTAATCGGCCACCTTCCACTGGAAGCCATTCTGGGCACCTCAGATAGAACAGACAGTCCCCCCACAATGCGTGCACTAAGATTGTTTTTGCTTAGCCATCCGTTTTATGGTAGTCAAACCAACACTTCAACATGGTTAAGCTGTCAAATTTGAAATTTTCTTTGGTTCTGTTAAATCAATTATTTTTAGAAAGTGAAAAAAACTCCAAAAACTTACAGTCCATATCAAGTATGGCACGAACAGACTTAACAAGTTCCTTAGACTCCAGGGCCAAGGTCGCTGGGGTGTTCCGGCCGCTCCTCCCGGGCAGCGTGAGGGATGTCTGAGAGGCCAACAAAGCTCTTCTGTCACTATGAGGGCCGTAAAAACAAAGCCAGACTTACTATACAATAAATAGCACCTATCTTTGCTAAATCTGAATTCTTATTAGTTATGAATTTGTACAGAAATATTTCTATATCTGGGAACACTGTATTCTTATTGCCATAAGTAAAGTAAGTCACACAAAACATTATTTCTGTTTTCAGTTCTTGACTGTGTAATAAACAGGCATATTTAAAAACTTAGGTTGAGCTTATTTACTGAGTGCCTGTATTACGTTAACACAGGGTAGCCTTTTATTTCGTTTTGTGAAAATTCAAGTTAAGTTCAAAAACATAAATTTATTAAACACACATTAACTATGACTCCTGGTGATACTAAGTTTAACTTCATTATGTATATTTACTCATGAAATTATCTCTAAGCACTTCCATTTGTTTCCCCTAAACCTAACAGCCTAGAGCACTTATACTACTATTAAAAACGCAAATGTCCCCTGAAATAAATGCATTCAGATATAATAAAAAATGCAAGGTTTTCCTGCAAAAGGTCATTACACTAAAACTTTTACTTGAAAAGAGACCATTTTAAACTGATGACAAAACCATTGTTACTTGCTTGTCCATCTTCTTAAGCATGATGGGATTAATTAACAAGGAGAAATTAAAGAATCAGTTCTTCAATTCAAATACAGAGCCTTTATTCTGTGTTGAATGACCAAGACAAATATCCACCACAGAAGATACAGTGTACTAAAAAGACTGAACCAAATTTTGCTAGTGTTTAACTTTCCAAGACATGGTGAAAATTTGCTTAATGTCACTTCTTAAATTTGTCTTTTTTCCATGAACTAGTTTAAGGCAAGAGCAGACTCTGGCCTTTAAGTAGTCATTTTACCTTTCATTTTTAATACCAAAGCCTTTGAATTATTATTCAAGGTCACAATGAGACCTTGAAGTCAGGGGTAGGAGACACACCTAATTCATACGAGGGAAATCTGATTGCTGAGTATTTTAACATCTTTACTAAAAATAATCATCATGGAATTCACCAACTATCTTACATCATAAGCAGCATGGAAAACAATTAAAAATGCCAAATTCCTTCATTAGAGGAAATAAAACATTACATAAAATGAAGTTAAAAGTGTACTACTATAGGAACTCTTCTGAATTCAAAAAAATGCTGTATAAACTTAAAATATAATAAGAATACAATGAATCATCTTCACTTTTTAAACTGCTGTTTTCATAGCAAACGGTAGAATTTGCCTATATTTCTGCAAGCACACGCTACTGGAAGTCAAATGCTAGTGTCAGCTATTGTAAGATAAGAAAAAACAATTGCTTTGAAAAATGTATAGAAAACCTTTCTTTTGTATCACGTATCAAAATGACCATACACTTGCAGTTTGAAATAAATAAATGTTATTACTATGATTGTAGCTCCTAATAAGAAAGTTTAAATTGGAAACAAACTGTGAATAATAACAAAATCAAGGTGTATTCTCCAAATATATTTTTTAACTGATGTCTACTGAATGCTGAAAATGCAAGAAATTGATGGCATGAGCATGTTTCATAAACTTCCGTCTGCCACAACAACTAATATGTTAGGTTGAGATTTACCTTTAGCAGTGAACCCAGGACTAGTACAGTAACTTTTACTCATGCACAGGATGCTTAGAGAACTTCAAGTGAATCTCTACAGAATTCAGTTTTAGAGTACTAGGTTACAATGATTTGCTAAACGTCTCCAGGAATTCCTTTCACAGAGATGGGGTAAAAACAACGTCCTTGTATCTACTTCCACAAGGCATTAAAGATTGGATAGGAGTTATGTAGCATCTTAAGAGATTTTATTATTTTAGTTCCAATTACTAGATGCAATTATAATCAGTGGCCAAAGTCTGTAGAAAGCACTCAAACATTCTTACCTTAAAGTTGATAAAGGAGTAGAATTATCAGAAAATACTTCTTGAATAGCCTAGAAACAAACAAAATAAATAGTGAAGGAGATTTGTAAGTTTGATAGTTTTTAAAAAAATGTCATTTCTTGCTTAATATTTATAACCTCCTCCTTCATGCTCCCTCAAATGATTAAAAAGGTATTTCTGTTATGTGGTGGGAGGGGGGATCAATTACATTAACATGCAATTCTACTCAGAAATATAACTACAGAAACACTTCTTTACAACTGGTAAATATTTATCAAATAATATTTCTGGATTATGAAGAGCTTTATTAAGAGAGTGTTCACTAAAAAACATAGTATGTATCTGGGGTCATGTTACTTTGTCTCACTCAATCATTTCTTAACAATCTATATTGGTCTTTCATTACCTAGGTAATTTTAAATCTGACTCTAAGTTAGTACTGCTGTTTTGACCCCAGAGAATGTTTCACTAGCTACCAAACACGTTTATCTATATGTTAGTTGCCTATCCATTTCTTAAAGAGACATAATGTAACAGGAAAATTTACCTCTACAAAATGAAGAAGCTTCTCAGTGGATGCCTCGAAAGTCTTGCGAGCCATTTCTGATTTTCGCAGTTGGCAGTCAAGTACGGTGATTCTCTTTCTTAACTCCTGGATACTTTCCTGCACCGAGATAGCAGAAAAGATCGTCTTACACCCTTCTCCTATTTCATATGAGAGGCTCCTATTTTCAGTTTTTGTTAACTAGGATCCAACATTGCCATATCATTTATTTTCCCTTTGTTGCGTACATTTTAGGACTTGGGACAGCACTTACAAATAATGGTCCATTTAACAGTTAAACTGCACTGGGGAGCTGAAAATTTTATGAGATAAGCCTCATATGACTTTATTGGTTCCTATAATAAATTACATTTAAATTAGTTCACAGTGTTTGTTTTTTGCAACATAGCTTACCAGTTGCATACAGAAACCCCTATCAGTATGACAAAACCAAAAATGCTGAAGATATACATCTTTATTTAATATGATGCAATGCAATGTGAAGCTGAGCTGGCGGGGAAGTAAGGGGTTCCATGAAGCCCAGCACAGCAATGTGGAGTGGACACTGGAGTCAGAGCGCACGACAGCGTAATTTACTCTGCGGGTACATGCTGGGCTCCTGTGGCCTACAGTGTGGGGTTTCGTCAGGCACAGGTGGCAAATGAGAGAACTTTAACGAATGAACTAGGAAAAAACAAACTCACAAGGTGAACAGGGTTTGACTTTGGCTCTGGTGAGCAGATTTTAAACAGCATCCCCTGAAAAAGTGTTAACCAGGTTTAAGGTTTACAATCTTTAAATTTGTAAGATGAAAATTTAGCTTAAATTGGTCCCAGGCTGGCAGAAGAAAACACAAAACTTTTCTGGAGGAATACTTTCTACACTCAGATCTTAAGTAATTCTCACATATACTGTATTCAAAGAACATGACCTCAGGAAATAAGCTACCATAAGTGAAAGTCCACCGAAGGAAACAAATTACAGGGTCAGTCCTATAAAGATAGACAGTGATCAGATACAGAATATAAAGTAATAGTGGATATGTTTTAAAAATTAAGAAGGAATAGGAAGCATAATAAAGGGTTAAGAAACTATCAAAGTAGATCTGATGACATAAAAAAATCAATCTTAAAAATAAAAACGCAACCATAATTAAATTAGCAATCCAATTTATGGGCTTCCTATCCAGTTAGACACAGTTGAAAAGAGAATGGGTCAGCTGGAAGACAGAGATAAAGAAGCTCACCATAATGAAGCAGAAAGATAAAAACGGAAATATAAAAGGAAGAGAGGAGGTAAGGAGGAAAGAATTAGAAGATCATGTATACATCCAATCTGAATCACACAAGAAAGGCCAAAAAGAATGACAGAAAAATACCTGAGGATAACAGCTTAGTTTAAAAATAAAAAATAAAAAAATTGGCAAAGTACATTTCTCCTCAGGAAAGGCGTGAAAAAGCTCAATTAATCTAAATAATTAAGTCAACATATGACTCTTTATAGTCAAACTGCTGAACATTGAGGATAAGGAGATCTTAAAATCATCTACAAAGAAGCAATGGAGTGCAAACAAATGACTGACTGATGACTACTGTAACCATGGAGTAACAATACTGAAAAAAATTAAATGCTAACTCAACAATTCTAAATGCAGCAAAAACATATTTCAAGGACATGAGTTTAATAAAGACGTCTTCAGACAAACAAAAAAGGAGCAAGTTTATGAGCCAGAGATCCTCACTGAACAAATTTCTAAAAGCTGTACTTCAGAAAGAAAGAAAATAATTCAGGTGAGAAGGTCTGAGAAACGAGAAAATGTTGAACACAGAGAAAGGTCAAGATGGCCGTCTATCTAAACAAAGGTTGACTGCACAAAGTAAACTGTAACAGTGTCTAGGTTATGGTGTCAAAAGTCAAGAAAGAACTAAAATAGTGACAACATTAGAAATTAAGTAGAAAGAGATGATTGGATTTATGTTCTAAAGTGCTTTTAGAAGAGGGAAAGCTAGTGGTTAGTTTTATATAATGTAAGTTAAAATAGAATGTTAAAATCTCCTAGCTAATCATTTAAAATTAGAAAAAGAGTATATAACTTAGGAACCAGGAGAGGGACATATGGAATGGGACCCGGAGAACACAGGAGAAATGTGAACCAATTCAAAAGGAAGAAGGGGAGAAAGAACATGGAAAGTTCCTTTCCATGAACCATCTCGGGCCTTGGGCAGAATTATTTAAACTTTCACACTTCCTTGCCCAGCTGGGTGTGGCTCAGCAGTTGAGCATCCACCTACGATTCAGGACATCCCTGTTGGATTCTGGTCAGGCACCTGCCCAGGCTCAATCCCCAGTAGGGGACGTGCAGGTGGCAGCTGATCAATGACTCTCTCATCATCGACGTTTCTCTCTCTCTCCCTCTCCCTTCCTCTCTCTGAAATCAATAAATATTTATTAAAAAAATAAAAAATAAATAAACTTTCACAGTTCCTTGAGTGTTTTAATCAAAAAGCAACCCATCCCTAGACTCTCTTCCTCCCATCCCCACAAGACAAATTAGTTAAGTTTAGAAACAAAGGAGAAAAAGACAATGTAACAGGCTAAATGCTAAATGACTCCAGGATTTAATGCCTGAGCTGTATGTACAATGTTGACCAAGGATCCAAGTCAATGTGGGGCTCATGCTTTTCCATCCCGAAGCTGTCTGAATAAAGGGAGGCTGACAACCTCCATGGGGCCCCCGATGGACGCATCGCCCGATGGCTGAGCAAGGAGCAGACAAATGCTGACCTAGTTTGCAAGCGCAGATGAGAGAGAAATGAGAACAGGATACAGGAGGACGGCAGGGAAACCATGGTAACTGGCAGAGGGGACTGTGCTGCTTACTTTATTTTGGTCAGAATAATCAGCAAGCTGAGCCTTCAGCTCGGTGATCTCGCCCTCCAGCAGACGGATCACTTCTTCGTAGTCCATCTCCATCCCATGGGCCTGCCTCTGTGCGGCTTCAGCAAGATGGATCCGACTTCGCAGGGCTCTGGTTTCTTCCATGACTGCTTTGGCTTCCTAAAGATTTCAAAATGGGTGTCACTGAGAAAAAACACATGCTCCTCACATGTCGATTTGAAAATGAACAGTCATGTCATTCTACTGTATACGGTGGCTGCCTGATCTGGCTTTCCCTTTGTTGATTTCTGAGATGACATTTGGTACAGAAGCTCCAACTTCACACACCTAGCATAACGTTTTGAAAATAAGGGGAATACAAGAGACCGGAACATGGGAAACAGAAGAATAGGAATTGGTTCAAAAGACAAAAAGAGCAAGTGGACTTCCACAAAACTCACGGAGGTGGTAAGGCTCATGTTCTGGGAAGGCTCTTAAAGCTTTATCAGGTGCTGAGAGATTTATAGTGTGGTGGTGGCTCTTCCAGGGTCCATGCCCCAGGAGCCAGAGCTTACTCCTAGACATCGTCTAACTGCTACTTCTCTGCTTTCAATTTAAGCCAAAAGGTAGAATCCAGTAAAAAAAAATATAGCTATTAGGATGCAATGCTCACAAGACCTTTATTAAACATATGTTACAACTCAGGTGATTCATGTGTCTTCTCTCAGTTAACTTTTTTAACAAACTGAGAGAAAGGACTTAAAAATCATTTTATACGCAATCAAACGGAGGCTCAGGGAGGTTATAAAATCCAAGGACACAGAATAATGCCATAATTTAAACCTGACTCCAACCTTAATGCTCGGTTCACCATTTTGCTCTGCCACTAGGTGATAAACACAAAAACTCGAAACAAACAACACTATATATTAGCTCCGTTCTCCAGCTTAGCGAGAGGATGGGGAGGCCAACCACTTGCCCTCTCAAAATGCGCTGGGTGCTGGGCCAGCAACAGTCCCCCTGGGACACCAATGTAATTTAACATGGCAGTTTTATACTGTAAAGCATTTCTTTTTCTATACTTGATGCAGAAATCTCTTGTCTGCAACAGAATTTTCTGCTCCAATTGCCATAGTTAATATTCAACTATGGCTATTTTAATATTCTTGGAGCTATTATATTATAGGATGTGTTATTTTGTGTGAGCCTAAATATGACTGATGTTAGGGGAGGGTTGGGAACATGGACATACTCCTAAGGACCAAATTTTCATTCATACACTCAAGAACTATTGATTAAGTACCTATTTTGTGTCAAGTTCTGTTTTAGGTACTGAGGATAGAACACTGAAAAGAGACAAAAAAAATCCTCCCTTCTGCACCCCCCCCAGAATTTACACTCGAGTTTGAGGAGATAGTAAATTAGAGATTATCAGTGAAGATTTCATTGAGAAGACATCTGACGAGAGAGCTGCAGAAAGGATGGAGCCATGAAGATTTCCCAAGGATATCTGGGCTTTCTGGGCAGAAGGAACAGTGTGTGCAAAGGCCCGGAGATAGCACTGTGTCCTGCATCTTCAGAGAACAGCAGGGAAGCCAGTGTCGCAGGAGAAGAGAGTAGCAGGGGACAGGAAGTGAGTAGCAGGACAAGAGGGCACAGTGGTAACAGGAGGGAGAGCAAGGATGGAGTTGGGGTGGAGGGGCCAATCTTAAGGGCCTTTGTAGGCCTTTGCATGGACTTTGGTTCTACTCCAGGTGAGATGGGAAGGGAGTGGAGGGTTTTGAGCAGAGAAGTGATAGGATCTGACTTAAATTTTAAGTGGATCTATTTTGCTGCTGTGTTGAGAGTAGATGGTAGGGGGTGGGAAAGGGTGGAGCAGGGAGAAGGGGAAAGGGACAGAGAAAAAGTAATTGTGGCTGGGACAAGGGTGACAGTGGCAGACATAGTTTTTAGTGGTTAGGTTACAAATGCAGTTTGAAAGTAGAGCTAACTGGAGAGTTCACCGTCAATAACAAACTTAACTTAGCAGATACTGTATCCAGACAATCATGTTTTATTTGGGTCCTTTCTTTTATTCTTCATGAGCCTAGTTAAAGGTTTGTCACTCTTATCTTTCCAAAGAACCAGCTATTGGTTTCATTAAATTTTTGTATTTTTTTTAAGACTCTCATTTATTTCTGCTCTGATTATTTCATTTTTTCTCCTCACTTGGGTATTGTTTGTTGTTCATTTGCTAGTTCCTTTAAGTGTAAAATTAGATATTTCATATAATACTGGTTTGGTGGTAATGAACTCCTTTAGCTTTTTGTCTGGGAAGCTCTTTATTTCTCCTTCAATTTTAAATGATAGCCTTGCTGGGTATAGTAATCTTGGTTGTAGGTCTTTACTTTTCATCACTTTGAATACTTCATGCCATTCCCTTCTGGCCTGTAGTGTTTCTGTTGAGAAATCAGCTGACAGTCTCATGGGAGCTCCCTTGTAGAGAAGTATCTGTCTTTCTCTTGCTGCTTTTAAGATTCTGTCTTTGTCTTCAACCTTTGGCATTTTAATTATGATGTGTCTTGGCGTGGGCCTCTTTGGGTTCATCTTGTTTGGGACTCTGCACTTCCTGGAGTTGTGTGTCTTTTCCTTCACCACATGAGGGAAGTTTTCTGTCATTATTTCTTCAAATAGGTTCTCCATCCCTTGCTCTCTCTCTTCTCCTCTGGTACCCGTATGATGCACACAACTCAGTCACTGACACCCCCTGAATCTGCCCAGACAGTTATACCCCGGCCCAGGCAGCTGACTCCTAAGCAAGGTGCAAGTTCCATAGGGAGTCCAAAGGGTGGGGCTATTGCTTTCCACCAGGCTGATGCTGAGGAGAGGGGATTGCTCCACCCAAGAAAGATGGTGTGGGAGAGGAACTCAGCTCAGGGAACCTGGCGGCTGTCCCTTCAGCTCCTTCCCCAGAGTCACGAGCCCCCGTCTCTCCTCACACAACTCTAGCCCACTCCTTCCTCCCTCTGCAGGAGTCCAGGGTGAGTGTCATCAAATGAGATTTTGTGCATTGGCCCTTTAAGAGGGCGCCTGTGTCTCTAGTAGACACCCGCCTCTCCCTGACAGACAGAATCCCTGCTGATTTTCACAGTCAGATGTTTTGTGGGTGCCTCTTTCTGGCTCTGGTCCTCTGGGCTAGAGAGCTCAGCTTGGGGTTCAGACTCCACACTCCTTGGGGGGGAAACCTCTGCAGCTGAGATAGCCCTCTGGAATCTCAGCAACCATGAGTGAGAATGGGGCCAGCCCTTTTTGTGTCTCTACCCTTCCTACAAGTCTTGATGTGACTTCTATAAATCCTTGGTTATAAGACTTCTCTTCAGCTAGTCTTCAGTTATTCAGGCTGATTGCCTTATATTTTAGTTGTAATTCCAGTTTGGCCCTGGGAGGAGGTGAGTGTAACATCCACCTACTCTGCTGCCATCTTGGCTCTCTCCAAAAGAACTTCTATCTGGGGAAGTCTTGACGCCTTCTGAGCAGAAACTGAGATAAGAACACAGTGCTTTGGAAAGCTAAATCTGGCAGTAGGGTACAGGATGGAGAGATGTGGCCAACCAACCGCCTACTATACCCTTGATTCACAGAACTTTATTTTCCTATTTTGTAAAGTAATTCTCTTATAATAAAAGGGTACTTTAAAAAAGAAATATCTGGGGAAATAATAGGACATTTTTCTAGCCACGTCAGTCACATCTAGTTAGTTCAGCACAGGTGATCAGGAGTCACCAGTGTCACAGCTGAGTCAACTCGTTGCCGTGCATACAGGAAATAATAGCTAAGTGTGCTGGCCCAACTCTAAGGGTTTTCCATGGATCAACGCAGTTCATCTAAATACTGCATGTGAGGTATGCCAATTATTACCTTCATTTAATGGACAGGAAATTGAAGCACAGAAAGGTTAAGTAACTTGCTCAGAATCACAAATCTAATAAGTGGATGAGCTAGGATCTGAACCCAGGCAGTCTATTTACAAAGTTCATGCTCTTGGCTATTAGGCTATGCTACCTCTCCAACTATAGAAAGTGCTAAAAAATAAAATAAAATCACCTGTAGATGACAATATCATTGGTGCCCCACCCTACACGAGCTTAGGATGTGGTCATTACAATCTACTCAGAAACATCCGAGGCAGCTATATGGTTCCCCATTTTATATTCAATCAAGCTAGAAAAAAATATGCTGTCACTAAGAGGAAGAGGAGGGGCAGAGCATCCTCCGTAGCTGCGGGGAAATGTACCTAATTTGATGATTTGTCTCCTTCACACTCACTTCATACAGCTTTTATTCCCCTAAAAAAACAGCACTTTTATTCTTGCTCAAAGGATGCTAGTTAATTAAATGAAGAATCTGGATGGAATTTATATAGCCATTATAGTGCGCTGATGGTAATACGGTATGAAATGCAGTTGGGTGGTAAAAGATGCAGAGGTTCTAATGCTGAATAAATTCATGCTAGTTCTTTTGTGAAGGTATAACTGTCAGGTTGGTAGATGTGACCCCTTAGCAAAGTTCTAGCCCAGCTCCCACTGAATGGCTGTTGAAAAGATTAGTGCATTGAAATGATGAATCTCAGAGGGAGTGGTAAAGAAAAGATAGCAGCACTGTGCTGTATTGAGCAATACAGGGTCGCATAAATCCATTTTTTCTTTTCCTCCTGGGCCTTCTTTTAATAATTAACTAACTGTGAAGCCTTCTCTGTCAGTAACAACTGATCCAGAATTTTCCCAGTACCTCATCAAGGAGCCTGAAATCCCACCAAGGTAAACACTGCAGCCAGCTCACTGGTTCACTTTGTATTAGGTAAAGAGTCATTCAGTTTACAAAGTTAGAAAATAAGAGAGAAACTAAGATGTAACAGTAAAGCAGAAAATTAATCTAAGTAGTATTTTTTTAATATGATGCAGCATGAGCAAATATACTAAAAGGGACTTGAATTCTGAAGTCAAATCTCTGACTTAAATTTTTTTTTTTTTTTTTTT